CCGCTGGAATAGTTGAGACGCAAGTCTCGTCAGGAAACATCGGATGACTTTCTGAGGGTCCCGATAACTTTTCCCCCTCAGAGTATTCACTGTATATCTATCGATCAAAATGTCAGAAACATTTCGGTCTCAAACTCCAGCAGAGGGCCCGCCATTGGCAACGGGAAACAATAAACCCGATTTCGCTTTCCAATGTCAGCTAACAGCAGTAAGAATCATTGTAAAATTCGACCGCAAACTCGTTAGAGGCTCGCGCCCGTCGTCGACGGTGTTGACAAGGTCTTTACGAAACGTAAGGGCGCCGTCTACTGGTGACCAATAGGAATGACAAAGAAAACCTTCGACTGAAGTGGCTCTCAACTTTACAAGTACAGTCCCACCGAAAAAATACAACTCTCTGGGTACCTTTATCAGGTGCTTGTCTCACCATGTTCGTCTTTGTCGTTGTGTTTATGATCCTCTGGACGAGTTGGAACTGGGACAGTCAATTCCTTAGTCTGTCTGTGGCTGCGCAGACGCGACGAAGCATGTGCTCAGCGTGCACTCGTTGCAGTCCCTACCAAGCCCCTCGCCCCTCCCCTTTCTCTTCTGGTCTACCTTTCTGAGTACGGCAGCTGAGCCACTGCCAAACCTCGCTTCAGACACGTGAAAAAGAGAGAGCGACATAGAGTGGAAGGGAGCGAGAGAGAGAGAGAGAGAGAGAGAAGAAAAATGACAGAGCCGGCTCTCGAGGGAGGGTGACGGCTCTTCAAAGAGCCGGCTCTTTGTACCGGCTCGTTCGCGACCGACACATCACTACTCGACACCCCTAGCAATGATTTGTCCGCTAGCTACCTGCCGCTCGCGATCGGCGTACTGGGCCTTGATTTACTGGGTACTTAAAATGCTGTCTGATTTTGAAGAAAAAAAACATTGACACGACAGGTCGAACAGCGTTAACATTCTGGTGCTGAATGATCCATAGCTTCGCACACATGCTCTGACAATAAAAGAAAGATTTATAGCATGATGGCAGCGTTATTCTGTACGGAGACAGCGAGCAGCCGCGACTCCCGGTGGTGCCTCGCTGCCATTCGCCAGTCTTCAGGTGAGAGGGCGGGGCTTCGTCCCTAATTCCTCCAATCCGGTGGCTCGCCTTTCCTCCTGCCCGCCCTCCCACCGCCCTCCATTCTCATCCCCTCCTGGAGGACGGAGCGATGCGGAGACAATAGGACGCCACAGGAAGCCGGTGGAGGAGGCTGTCGTGGATGCGCACGGTCCCAGCTGCCCGGTGGACGGCGACATCCGCGCGGACTCGCCCTTTTCATCGCCTCACCTGGTTCTAATATGCGTGCTCTCCGCCGTCCGGTTTGTTTAACATCGCTTGGACGGACAGCCAGGGCGGACTCCACAGCCCCGTTATGAGCATCTCTTCAATGGTAAGCATTTATTTTATGTTCGCTGACATCCTCAATAAGGTTGCAGCGGACTGTTTACATGAAAAATTCTCGTTCGTGTATTAGGGTGTGTTTCCTTGAATCCGAGCATCAACGGCTTCTCCACAAACAGACATCAATGCACAAAAGATATTGTCCTCTTTTGTCATTGATATCGAGCACTCCATCCTCCTGAATGTGGGGGTAGCCAGGTGTCTGCAGCATTGTGTGTATGTGTGCGTTTGCCAGTGTGTCATTCAGCTCTGTTTCCTCTGAGTCAGTGCAGTCTGAGGACACACTGCAGGTGGGGAGCATTGTGACTGAATGCTGATGGAACAAGAGAACAGAGCATTTTTTTTAAAACATTGAAAACAACATCCAGGCGAGAGATGCACTTGAATTGAATAATCGACAAGTAATTGATTATCAAGTTAACTGACACTTATATTGATATATTGACCCAAAGTATGACATAAAATCCTCTGCTTTCAGCCTCTTCATTTTTAACACAAATGGTGGAGCAACACATGTGGAAAGATAAAATAATAATCACCCAGTAGCAATGCATCAATCAATTATTCAACAACTTTTTTGATAATGATACAGATGTTCGATACTACCGATACCAAGAGACCAATATCAATATGAGTAGTCACTCTTTGAGTACATACCGATACTGAGTACCGATACTTCCAGTTCTTTTTATAAAATTTCAGGGAAGACAATGATTTATTGATTATGAAATGAATTAACTACTATTTTGAAAGTCAGTTAATCATTGCTGAATGTTGAACTTTTAATTGTTCAAACCATTACAATTTTAGTCTTACCATATTTATTAACACAAGTGGTGGAGCAACACATGTAGAGAGATAAAATGACAATACTCACTGGCAGAGGTTCAACAATAAAATGATTAATCAACAGCTAATCAATTATCCTTGTTATTAATTGACAAATATTTCCATCAACGTTTAATCGTTTGGAGCCATTTTTTAAAAATCTGAAATTGTCAAATTTCAGACTCTCAACACATCAATATTCTCAGATTTCTGCAGCCCTGCTCATAGTATTTTATGATGTTCAATGTATTTTTTAAAAATCATAAAATCACAGAGCAATCTATTCAAACAAAATAGTTTTTTATGTTGTCGAGTCTTGTTTTAACCGTAAAAGCACACAGAAAACGTCAAACATGCACAAGTGAATTGAAATAAATTTTTGCCGTCTGAGCCCTGTACATGCTTTAATGTATGCACGCATTGATTGGGGGAGATCACGTGTGTGTGTGTGTGTGTGTGTGTGTGTGTGTGTGTGTGTGTGTGTGTGCGTGTGTGTTTGTGTGTGTGTGTGTGTCTGAGACACATTCAACTAATCAAAGTGGGCTTAAAGTGCGGCACTTGGTGGATATTAAAAAAGTAGATTGACTTCAGCGTGATGAGTCACAGCTCACACAGTGGGACACAAACACACAAAGTAAGATGATGCCAGCGGGCAGGAAGGCTGGCACCCACTCACTTTTGTTGGTACTCTTCCCTAAATACAGACAGATGTCATCGTGATGTACTCATGTGGATATATCAGTTGTGAAGGTATCGTTTTGTTTGTTTGTGTGTGTGAGAGAGTGTGTGTGTGTGTGTGTGTGTGTGTGTATATCCTCTATGGTGAGTGGGGCTGACAACCTTTCGCAACATCGATGACATTTTGGTACATGCAGGAAGCAGTTTGTTCCGTTTCTCGGGCTAAGTATCGATGCATATTTCCAAAATCGATTCACAAGGGTTGAATTCGATTTGATTGATGATTCGCTGATTTATTTATGGTTTCGTGAATTGATATGAAATCAGGCGATGAAAAGGGAAATTGATTTGATCCGATTAATCAATTGTTTAAAACCCAGCCCTATTCATCTATACATTTCTTTTCGTGTATTTAAAAAAATAACAATCATCATCATAATAAAATGAATCAATATTCATTTAAAAAAAAAAACTAAACTAAATTATGGGTGTAGTCTCCTATGAGATTCGCTAGAGGGCACTGTTTATCTCTCTCCAATGTGAAATATGTTCAACGCGCATACAGTTGTAATTTAATCTATCATCGATAAAAACTCATCTCATCATGCTTTAGTTAGCTTTGTTTGTGTCGTTTTTCAAAATAGCAGCCTTTGAAATTTGAAAATTGTATTCTATTAAACTGTTGTTGATTTGAATTCCGTTCGTGGTTCAGCCCAACTCTCGAATGTCCAAAATCACAAGTTCTTCAAGTCCCGAGCCATTGCTTGGTCATTTTTTTTTTTTTTTTTTGGGCTTTTGGGTAGTTAACCTGAATTGATGAATAAATCTGAATTATTGTCATGCCGCATACGGTCAAGATGAACAATCACACGAACGATCCAGTATTTAGTTGTGCGCAACATAGTGCTGCGTGTGTGTGTGTGTGTGTGTGTGTGTGTGTGTAGTGCGGAACTCTCAAAGGTCAGTACAATGGAAAAAGGCTTTAGGAGACTGAAGATGGCATTGCTCTAAATGTTAGAGGATTGAACGTGGGTGGGGGACCTGGCTAAATGAATATAGTTGTCTGAATGGCTCTAGTTGCATAAGGGGTCTCGGTCCAAGGGTTTAGCTAGCTGAGGCCACTGAGTGTTATTTTATCGGAATATAATATACTGGGCTCTTAGTACATTACAACCCGAGTTGCCAAAGTGGTTGCCAGATAGAAATAAACGAACTGATCAGAAACTGTACATTTGAATCAGGTGTGTTGCAATAGGGAGACTTGGAAAACATGCAGGACATCGGCCCTCCAGGAACTGAGTTTGAGACCTCTGCTTTAAGGGATACACAAAAATGTTGTTCCCTCGGCCCCTTTAACTGACACCTTCATGTCTTTTTTTTTTTTTTGTATGATTTTTTTGAGGACATTGTGAACGTGATTCATTTCACCTCAATGTCACCACACACACACACACACACACACACACACACACACACACACACACACACGAGCACACACCCGGCCAAACATGGCGCAGCAGCATGCTTCCTGCAATGCTTCGGCAAGCACTCCTCATCCCGGACAGAAACAAATGGCCTCTTCTCTTTTTAACAACTCCCTGCCTTCCCTCCTGTGGACGTGCACCTTTCATAGACACTTTTATTTTGGAGGGGAAGGGGAGCGGGAGATTCTTCATGCCATTTATCACCCAAACTGAGTCATTCTCAGTACCTGCTGTGTCATGCGCTCTTCCTGTGTACAAAAAAAAAACAAAAAAACAACAAAAAAAAAAGGGAACCCCCCCCTCCCCCTCACAGTAGAACACAGCGGCCTTTTGGAAGGTGATGACAAGGTACTTACGCCGGCGTGCTCTTTCACAAAGTTGCCCCCGTTCACTGTGAGATTTGCAGCTGCTCGGCCAGCGTTAGCGCGTATGACCGGAAGGGATGAGGAGAGCAGTCGGAAGTCGAATTTGTGCACTCGCACGGCAGGGGATGGCGCGCTGATGAATCACGGGCCCGGCAGTATGAATATTGAGTGCCTGTTTAGAGTGAGAAGCTGTTCTCTGGTGCTTCGGGGGGGACGCAATAAATGTTCCGCGCGGGTGCGCGCGCATTTTTTCCGGCATTTCGTCCACTCGCATGCACGTATTGGATGTGCATCTGGATTTGTCAGATTTGGGAACAACCAGATGAAGGCATCGAGCGATCAATTAAAATCACACTGCGGCGCAGCTTTTAATGTGTGTGTGTGTGTGTGTCTGTGTGTGTGAAGTGGAGTGTCGCCCCTGGCCAAGTGGCATTTTCAGTCTTCACTTCAGCTAATTACTGTCTGTTTTAAATGACAATCGTGCCGCAGGGGATGGTATTTGCAAGATTCTTTTGCCATTCGCCAAGCATCAATCTCCAAGCCGAGTTATTAAACACAATTGATGTTCACGGATGACAAAATATTGTTTTCCCCCCCCGAATATCACATCTCATGGTAAAAATAGAAATATACATAAACCGCTGCCGTCTAAAATCTTTGTTAACTGTACAGGCAACCTTGGATCATCCTTGACATTCGCGCAAGTTGAAAAGTTAAACCAACTGTTATTTTCAAGATGGCAAACATTAAAATATACAATAGAGATGCAACAATTTATTTATTTCCAACTTCGACAGTGGTAGTTATTTACCGTGACTTCCTGACAAAACGAGACGGGTGTTAAGATAAAACTGTTCCCATCTAAAAAGTCCCGAGGTTTTTTTTTTTCACCAAGTTTCAAAGTTACTTTTGCTTGCTATAAAGCAAAAATAACTTTGATCATTTTGTCTACAGATATTTTAAAGGTAGACTATTTATGGGTTGCATTCCAGATTCGATAACAGATGTTTGAAACACGGGTTAGCTGTCATTCAAAATGGCGGCCCAGCTCAAAGCCTTGAACTAAAAATACACTCCATGTAAATGCACTTCGTCATCTCCCGTGGTACCCTGACTGACACGAGTGCCCCAACGTGATCGTTTTTCGAATAACGAGTCGTCGGCTCTCATTGATGAATGTCAAATTATTTGTGCATAGCCACAAAAAAATTCTCATGCGAGACATTCACTTCACAATCTTACCGCAAACATGCTTCTGTTTTTCCAGTAACGTCAACTGTCAGCTGCCGCCACTCCAAACCCGCCTCGGCATCCATCCCTCACTCCCGTCCTCTCGCTGCGTCCTCCCGGACCCCTCAAGTCCTTCGGCATGAGCTCCTCTTCGCTGACGTCGCAAACAAACATGGACATCCTGGATGAGCTGCAGCTGATTGCAGCCCAGAACCTGGAGAAGTTGGAAGTCAATAAGTATTACGAAGTCATGAGAGAGCTGGGCAAGGGCACCTACGGCAAGGTGGACCTCGTCATCCACAAGATCAGAGGTACCAAAATGGCGCTGAAGTTCTTGAAGAAGAAGACCACCAAGCTGAAGTCGTTCCTGCGGGAGTATAGCATCTCGCTCTACTTGTCTCCCTGCCCGTTCATCATCAACATGTTTGGCATCGCCTTCGAGACGGACGAGTACTACGTTTTCGCGCAGGAGTACGCGCTCGCGGGGGATCTCTTTGACATCATTCCTCCGCAGGTACTCCGTCATGTTGTTTCGAATCACCATGAACACGTGACGCTAATTACTCGACACCCGAAAGATTGCTCGGAGGGTTGCGGGGGGGAAAAAATGCTTTAAATTTGTTCACTTGGGGTCGTCATCCTCATTTCATCTTATCATGGAAGTCAACGAATGAGAATGTCGAGTTGATGGGCTGTCAACTGGTGAAACGTAGCCGCGATGCGTGTTGAGGAAAGCTAGCAAGAACGCTGCTCACGTTCACTACGTTTTGCTACCGTTGGTTCAATAAAGTGATTGAACAAGCAGTGACAAACTATCTTAAATTCACCCCCCAAAAAATTGTTACTAGTTGTGCTTCGCATTCGCCGCATTGTACTTTAGCTTTAGCTGTGATGCAGCGAAGCCGCGAAAAGTGAACGGTGATAGCATGAGCAACGACGACATTGCCAAACGAGCAACCCTGCTCTGAGTGGAAGAAGTGCATGTCAGTGGCTTTAAATTGTGGGAACCACTTGAAAAAAAATGATTTAAAAAAAGACAAACTAGCAACAAATTACAAGAATCCATTAGGTAATTGCACAGTGCTAGTTTAAGTACATCTGTCTCATTTCAGTATCAGGGAAAAACAAATATGGCTGCTGTTATGTTGCTAGTTTAACTTGTGGAAACCCACACATTGATTTACAGTAACAATGTTGCAAATGGCTTTTAAAGCATGGAACATGGTTACACATTGTACACAGGCTCGTAAGTAAAAAGCTAGCAAATACGATTGACATTAGCGCTTGTTGGACCAGGCTGGACACATTTGCTGTTGTTCTGTCCATGTTTTTTTTTTCATGTTTGTTTTGTTTCGGGGGAATATAGAGCAAACTACGGTTAATATCTAAGCAGAGCCCCTTGAGGGACTCGACCAGGGGTGTCAAACTCATTTTTGTCGTGGGCCACATTTTAGTTACCGTTTCCCTTGGAGGGCCATTATGACTGAAACCATATCAAAAAAAAAAAAAAAAGAGGAAATAATGCTTTATAAATTATTGTTTAAGTTACTGTAATGAGGGGTTTAGTAACAAGAAAACGCTGACACTATGTCTCTTTTTTATTACATCTGAGAATTTTAAATTTTGGTGGAGATTTTAGCAAGCATCATGGAGGTTGCCATGTTTGATTTGCTTTCGCGGGCCACATAAAATGATGCCGCGGGCCAGATCTGGCCCCCGGGCCTTGAGTTTGACACCTGTGGACTAGACAAAGCACGGCTCAAAAGAACCCAATGATGAGTTCAAATACTGGAAAGTGGTGGTGGTGTGTTCCAACGACTCAAAAGAACCTAATGATGAGTTCAAATACTGGAAAAAGTGGTGGTGGTGTGTTCCAACGAAAGGATCCTCTATTCAAGGGCGCTGGAGAGGAGGTTCCATTCAAGTCTTAGATTCAGGAGGAGCGGCGTGGTTTTTCATCCGTGGCCGCTTGACTTTCGAGACAAGATGATTTTGTGTGGCCCAGTCTTGTATGTGCCCCTCAATAATCCCCCCCCCCTTTCCACTCTTAGGTCGGTCTCCCCGAAGCAGTGGCAAAGCGCTGCGTCCACCAAGTAGCCATTGCTTTGGACTACCTGCACTGTAAGAAGCTGGTCCACAGGGACATCAAGCCCGAAAACATTCTCATTTTTGACCGGGAGTGCCGCAAAGTCAAGCTGTCCGATTTCGGCATGACCCGTCGCGCCGGCTCGCCCGTGAAACGAGTGAGTGATACCAAGGTCCTCCGGTCAAGATGCACTTTTGCTGGTTGAAAATTACTAAATTTTGCCCCCGTGTGTCTTCAGGTCAGCGGCACCATCCCGTACACGGCCCCCGAGTTGTGCGATGTGTCCCGCCACGAGGGTTTCTGCGTGGACTACAGCACTGACGTGTGGGCCTTCGGCGTGCTTCTCTTCTGCATGCTGACTGGCAACTTCCCCTGGGAGAAGGCGCTGGCCTCCGACTCTTTCTACCAGGAGTTCATCCGCTGGCAGAGGAGGAGGACCAACACGGTGCCGTCCCAGTGGAGACGCTTCACTGAGCAGGCCCTGCGCATGTTCCGCCGCTTGCTCTCGGTGGAGCAGGAGCGACGCTGCTCCGTCAAAGAGGTATTCGGATACTTCAGCCATTCGTGGATGCTGGACGGCGAGAACAACAACAACAACGGCAACGGTGGGAGCGGCCCCGGGGAAAGGGTCGGCGGCGGCAGTAATGTGCGAGGCGAGGCCAACGACAATATGTCCTCATCTTCATCCGGGGAGGAAGACGAGGAACTCCTAGTGGAACGGATGAAGCAGCAGACTCTGTCTCCACTCTCCCCCCTCTCGCCGGTGTCACCCGTAGCCGCTGAGCGCGGCGGCGGCGGTGCGGCCAAGGGCGCCACGATGGAACTGGGCGGCGGCCACCATTTCGTATCCGTGTCCACCAACAGCTCGGTGTCCTCCACCAACAGCTACGAACGGATGCCGCGGGAAAACAGCTCCCCGGGAGGCCGGATGCTCGTGGCCACGCCCATCGAGATATGCGTCTGAGCACCCCGTCGACATTTTTTTCGACGTGAATCCCGTCTCACCGGTGTGCTCTTCTACCACTCATCCACCCCATGTACACAGTCAATGTGCATGCACGGAGAACGAGACACTGAACACCGTCCTTGTTGTTGTGGAAGCACAGGGCAGACGAACTGTGCAAACCTGAAAAGTATAACAGAAGACCAAAATGTCGTTCCTAAAGCAATATTTCCGAAAAAAAGCAAAAAAAAAAAACCCTAAAAACAAACAAACAAAAAAAAAACAGTCAGGAGGGAACATGACTTCTTTGGGGGCTTGACTTGGCGCCCCCCCAGAAAGCTTGAAATGTGTTGTACGTTTGACGAACGAAACAAGACAAACTTGAAAGACGAAGTGCTTTTTAAATACATCAAGTGTGTTTCATTAACTGGATCCTTTTTTTGTAACGCATTGAGGAGGTGATTTTTAGTCACAAGATTCGGGCTAAAATTCAACTGCTCATTGGCTGTCGGATGATGGTTTAGAACTCTGCGCTTTTAACATATCTACTTCACACATTTTTTTTACTCACTCTTGTGTGACATAAAATATACATCATTAATTCTTTTCAACTCTGCGCCCCACAAAAAAAACGAAAACAAAACTAGACAAAAAAAATTCCAATATATAATGCATGAGTAGCTCAGCAACTTTACACACATCCAAAAAAATGTCATGTGGAATTTTTGACGTAGCACAATTCTTGCATTACGTCCAAGAGGGACTGTCATATGATCTCTTGACGTTTTAGGGCTAAAGCAAAAAAAAAAACAAAACAAAAAAAAAAAAAAAACAACCCCCAAAAAAAATCTCAATATAGTTTCTATTCAACGTGTTTAAGTGTTTTTGTATTCGTGTCTTGTATTCATATCACCACTTTAAGGAACTGGAAAAAAAAGAAGAAAAAAAAAAAGCAAAGCATGACTACATAGCGCTCACAAGGGTCGGGAATATCAATGACTTTCGGAGCTTCTAATTGGTCACTTTTAGATAACACGGTGGCATGGAAGTTGTTCGCAAAAAAAATTCCTTTATCAAACTGAACCATTTTGAAAAAAAAAAAAAAGAACACTGGATCCTGCATTTGGAGTGAGCCTTTTGTCTTTCCCCATAGATCTGCATGAAACGTTGTGTCCTAAAAGCTAATCGTAAAAAAAAAACAAGATGAGTAGACGCTAGCAACACGGTGTATTTTACGACCCGCTTGGATTATCGTCACCGTCATCATCCCAGCTGCTCCCAGATCAACTAGCGAGTATGCAAAAAGAAAAAAAACAAAAAAAAGAAAAAAACGTCCGTCTTGTGACAATCTCTGACCTCATCGGACGCCGTACAAAAGGACAAAAGGAGGGACACTGAGGACGCGCTGTTTTCCCTATCATGCAGCTGCTACGTTGTTTACTGCCGCTGCGGAACTTGAACGCTCGCTCACATGGCCGCATGAAGAAGAGCATTACCTCATCATCTGAACCAGCACCGTTCGCTAAGAATTCGTAGCAAGCCTCACGTTTTGAGTTCTGACAGTGACGTCAAATAAATACGACGATGTAATCCTGGACAACGCAAAAAATCCGAGCGAGCTCAGTGAGGTGTAAATCAGTGGTGCCCACTTCAACTTCTGAAAATATGAAATTGCCCCAATATTTTGGATTTTATTGACAGGAAGCCTTTTTTCTCCTCATATAAGCTCACTATAGCGTCACTTAATGTTAAAAAACTATGACCAGTCACCACCAACATTTATGTGGACATCTCTACTCATGCCCACTTCAACCTCCAAAAATATTTAACAATTATCCCAATAATTTGGGTTTTATAGATCTTTTTTTTTTTTTTTTTTTTACTGTGGCAATCGTCCATCCATCCATTTTCCGATCCGCTTTATTCTCACAAGGGTCGCATGGAGGGGTGCTGGAACCTATCCCAGCTGTCTTCGGGCAGTAGGCGGGGGACACCCTGAACCGGTTGCCAGCCAATCGCAGGGCACACACAGACGAACAACTAGCCACGCTCCCATTCACACCGAAGGACAATTTAGAGTGTTCAATCAGCCTGCCATGCATGTTTTTGGAATGTGGGAGGAAACTGGAGTACCCGGAGAAAACCCACGTAGTCCCGGGGAGAACATGCAAACTCCACACAAGGAGACTGGAATTGAACCTCTGCACTGTGAGGTCAACGCGCCAACCACCGGACCACCGGGCTGCCGTTGGGGCATTCATTCCAATAATTTCAAAAGTAGGCATAAGTAGAGAGGCCTCCACTTGGTGACGCTTGATTGAAGTCTTCTGACACCCAAGCATTTTTCCCTTTGGAGAGGAATACACTTACCGTTCAGAAAATTAAATATTCATTCTTGATGTCACTGGCATAGACAGCCGAGACATCTATATTTTTTGCAGTAAATAAACATTTCTGACCAATGAAGTGAAATTAGAACCGGTATACCGGTTGGAAATAACGGGTGTTAATGGTTACTTCAATGGCAATCTTAATCCAAATTCATTATCATTCGCAGAAAAATGAATACAGTAATAACCATTTTGGAACTTATGTGGATGGATACAATAGAGTAGCTGATTTTGATTTTTTTTTTTGTTTCTTTCAACGCCTCCAACGCATTTAAGCTTAGAGGCAGGAGGAGAGATGGTTTACACCAAACTGTAAAAAAAACAAAAACGATCCAAACAGTTTGCCCCTGATCCTCCTCCCGTTTTCATCATCCCACCATTCGCATCACGCGTAGTAGTTGAGTGTCAGTGTCCGTGTCCAGCGAAACATTTCCCAGCATTATCATTTTTGTGACTTTTGTGAGTAGATGGCCAGAAGCACTCTTACTTGGTTCTGTCTCTGCAATACAGCTGTCTTCCTGTCAAATCGGATTTAGTCAATAAAATTGAGAAATTCTCATCATCTGTTTTCTGTTTTTATTTTTGGTGGGCTTCTGAAGGGCCTGTTGCTTGAAGAACCCTTTCAGGGTCAGCGGTTACGACAGTGGACAGTTTATCATGTTATCAGGTTGCAGGGTAAATAAAAGGGTTAAAATGGAACATTCTTTTCCAAAATGCGATGAATTCATTTGGATTTTTCTGAATCTATTCTTTTATTTACCCTGCTTGGCTGACCAACACATTCAACAACAGTTCACCACCAATCATCGGCTATGAACATACTCAACAAATGTCACTTGCATCTTTACAGAACAAAGACCATGACACATTATTAATTGATACATGACTCTCTTCTCGTTCTGGGAAAAGATTATACAGAGGGTCCTTGGTTTACAATGGTGATGGCATTCGAGGTTGCAATGGCGTACAATGAACGAGTTTGCACAGCAGTGTAGGAATAAGGCTAAAGGTAAACAAAAAGGCCCTCTGAAATACATGGTTGTTTTTTTTTTTGGGGGGGGGGGGGTGGCGGCGAAAAACGCCTTTCTATACATGGTCGTTTTTTATCGGCAAAAAACGCTTTACAATACATGGTCGGGTTTTTTTTTTTCGGTTAAAAACACCTTACTATACGCGGTCGTTTTCTGGGAGCTAAAAACACCTTAATAAAAACGCTTTACAATACATGGTCGGGTTTTTTTTTGGTTAAAAACACCTTACTATACGTGGTCGTTTTCTGGGGGCTAAAAACACCTTAATATACATGGTCGTTTTTGGGGGGGCTAAAAACGCCTTGCTGTACATGGTCGTTTTTTTCGGTTAAAAACGCCTTACTATACATGTTCGTTTTTTGGGGGCAAAAATCGGGTCACCCCGCTCTCCCCGGCGACCCTTGTGAGGATGGACATTATGGCTTACCTTACTGTCTGTAGTCTGCCAAGTATGGTTAAGTTATTCAATTAACTTACCTTTTTCTTTTCGTCGGAACCATTTATTCTTCAGTGGTCCTGCAGTGCCCCCTAGTGGTCTGGCAAACTTCCGTTTAGTGGTGTGAACTTCGGCATTTTTTCCTTGCCGACATTTTTGAGTTGTTTTGGTTTCAGCAGCGTCCCCCACCCCCCGCCCCCATTTTTGCATTTGTTTTGCGGTTTATAACGTACGCTTCCATTTTGTTGCTGTAATTACAGCATTTTTTTTGCGTTTGTGTTTTCCTTTCTGCATTTCAGTGTTTTGTTTTTGTTTGCAGCGTTCGGACGCTTGTAACGCGTCCGCTCTTGTCGGTCACTGTACATGTTCACATTTACTCATTTGTGCCCCCTATTGGCCTAACATGATCCCTACATTGGACAAAGTTGGGGACCTGTTTTATCTCAAAATTTGCAGAATAAAAACTACCACTGCAAGTTGACTGATAAAGTTCATGCAGAGGAGAATGAAATTTATTTTTGCAATCATAAACGCTGATAAATGACTTGGTATAATTTTCCTCTCTTTCACATCTGGTGTTAAGTGCATGCAAATCGCATTTACATTCCAGAATTGCAAACCAACAGACACGCATGTACGCGCAGACACACAATCTCTTCAATGTTCAACAAAATATTTATTTTTTGGACACCCAAATGGCCTCCAATGCTACAAGAGGAGAGCAGGGATGTTTAAAAAAAATGACAATGGAAAAAAATTTAAATGGCACAACACGCAGTCCATTGTTCAACGCAAACAATTACAGATATAAGGAGGTGTTGGAATGTCTGGACAGGAAATTGAAGCCTTTCGTAATTCCTTTCCATGAACCCCTAAAAAATGTCAATTCAGCCCTGAGATAAACACACAACATGACAAATATTCCATAACAATCACGCATTATTAAAAACTGTATTGTACAGTACAATACAAACAACTAAAACATGACTTGCAGTCGTGTGACTGAACTGAGACATGGCACGAATGAAAGATGTCTTTTGTTTTGTGGCGGGTTGTGTCCTTCAGTGAACTGCTCAAACATTTGTCTCTCACACAGCACAATGCTGCCCGTGGCAGATCCGATTTGTCACTGCACTGTGTGTGCAGTGCCCCTCGTACGTCAAACTAAGGCTTACGAGGTCCCACAACTGCATCTTGTCACTCAATAAATAAAACTAGCGTGGAAAAAAAGCAGCCTTTCCAAACTGTAATTCATGTAAACTGGTCTTTCCTTTTTGACTGTAAGTGGTGAGTTACTGAATTTGTAAAGCAGGACTTTTAATGCCCTATTGGATTCACAATCCATGAGAACACAATACAAGAACCCTTGTCACGTGCCCAAAGTGCTTTTGAGCCAGATGGTGGAGAGGGGGGGGACAAAATAAATCATTACTCTGCTAACTAAGGCTGGAATTAACACTGCAGGTCCAACTGCCCATCTCAGCGACAAATAACTAATGCGACTGTTTACAACTCCGGAACACACGAAACAAACCCGCAGGTGACCAACTTTGAACTCCACAAATTTCAAGACTGGACAGTACCAACACATAAGTAGATGTAAATACACAAATGATACTAATATATCTTATCTATACTATTTATCAGGGCAGTGCTAATTCATCCTGCCAGTCGGAGACATCCGAAAAGTAAGCGTTGCCTAGTTGCTATTCTCTGAATTATGTCACTTGAAACGTGCAGTGTCAATTCAGCCCAAGAACTGCTTCTCCCTTTCAAAATAAGAGGAAGATGGAAGAGGAGGGGGCGTGGCCAACTAATACTGCAGCTACTGCAAAGTGCTTCCAACTTGCCCCACTGCCAACACATACAGACAAGATGAGGATACATTCAAACACACCGTGACGACTTCCCCTCTAAAAGCATGAACTGGGAAAAAAAAATAGTTCTGTTGTTTAAAAAGAAAAATAGAATAAAATGCA